GAACCGTGAGATCATGACCCGAGCTGAAGTTGGACACTTAACCGACTGAGCCACCCAGGTGCCCCAACAAATACTCGAGACAGGCAGAGTAAGCTGTTCCTCCAGGAACTCCATCTGTCTTAATATTAATACTTTGTTAGAGGGAAGGACAACCGTAGCTTGGCAACAGCTAGACCTCTGGGATCCTGTGAGTCTCCTTTGGAAGCTTCTGCTTATCTTTACTTCCCCAACTCCCAAGTCTATAATCAGGCACCCCTCAATCCCAGTGCAGCTCTCTCTGCTCATGGGTCCTGTCCCTGTGCTTTAATAAAACCACTTTTTGGGTTGCCTGGGTGGCTCAGCCGGTTACGTGTCTGACTTTGCTCAGGTCATGATCTCTCGGTTCATGAGTTCAAGCCCCGCATCGGGCTCTGGGCTGACAGCTCAGAGCCTGGAGCCTGCTTCACATTCTGTGTCTCCTTCTCTGTCTCTGCCCCTCCCCGCTTGTGTGCTCTCTCTCTCTCTCTCTCTCTCAAAAATAAATAAACATTAAAAAAATGTTTTTAAAAAATTCTTTTTCATTGTCGACTCCAAAGCCCAGCATTTCAAACCACACCACGACAACATTCCCACATTCCCGGTTTTCCATGCATTTGCCGTTTGCTATCTGCAAAGACATTCTTTCCCTTGTTTGTCCGTCCTGGGAACCACCCTTTCTTGAGACTGGGGTCAAGTGACCACTCTTCAGGAAGCTCCCAAGACCCATTAGCCACTCGTTCTAGGACACTCCCAAAGCATCGTGTGTATATCCTGCTATTATCATTCTGCCCAGAAACCAATTTCTCCTGTCTCCTCATCCAAAGGGAGGCGGGAACTAGATGCTTCCCATCCAAAGATTGAAAATTAGTGCCTGGACGGGAGGGGGAGGAGGAGGGCAAGGTCCTGGGAGGGGGAGGGGACAGAGCAGGTCGGGGGAGTGGCAGCAGCACCGAAGGGCACCCCTCACCTGGGCACACTTATATACAGCTGCTGGTTGCCATCCCATCTCACCCGCAAACCAAACGCCGTCTGCAGTTCCACAAACCGCCCACTTGAAGCCAGGAAGATTCCTTTAGAAGGTACCGCTGGGAGAGAGACTTGCTTCCCCCCAACCTGGTAGGCGGGGCAAGGGAGGAGACCAGGAGACAGACGGAAAGTCAAGGAGAACCCCCACCCCCACCCCCACCCGGAGAGACAGACAGAAAGTCAAGGAGAACGCCCCACCCAGAGACAGATGGAAAGTCAAGGAGAACCACCCCCCGCCGCCCCACAGATTCCCACATCCACGCTGGAAGGCACGGCAGCATCCACGGCAATCCTCAGTAGCACACAGAATGCTCTGGAACCCGTCCCTGAGAGGTCTGGAGGTGGCAGGAGCTGGCTGGAACACCGCGGCCCACGGGACAGGCTACAGCCAAGGTCTGGAAGCATTGGCAGGACTGAACAGAAAACCAGACTCACCAGCGTGCGCCTGTCCCTGAGCAGGGTGATGGTGATCTCATGCAGGGTCACGTAGACTTTGCTCAGGCAGGACAGGCCTTCCTGTCCTCGATCTTCATTCTTTGCCGCCACCCTGAAGAATGGCTCTGGGTGGGGAGAGGGGTGAAGAGCACCCAGGGGCCCATTCAACAAGCATGTCTGAGCGTCCACTGAGGGTGGCGCCCACACCTGGCACTGCGGGGCTAAAGGAGCACAAAGTGTGGGGCGTGACTGTCTGCCTTCTTCCAGAACAGCCTGTACTGTGCTGAGACTCTGTGCCCCCTCAGTGGGCCAGGGCACCCTCTGGGGCAGGGCATTCGTAATAGCTCTCTCGTCCCTTCATTGCCATTATTCCAGGTAGGCCTTCAGTAAAAGCTGGCCAGGGAGACAAACTCCTAAAGAGGCATTCTCTTAAAGGGCATCCTGAGTAAGTCCTGCTTCTGGGGTGGACATGTCCACTTTTACGTCACCCAAGACATTGTTCCCATCTTGCTCCTCCCATCGGCTCCCCAGCCCTTTCCTGCCGCTCGCTGTTCCCAGCTGTTCTGAACTTGGACCCCTGGCCCAGGCATCTCCAGGGCCATACCTGTCGAGTTGCCACAAGGTTGGGCCAAGACGTAGGTGCATTTGCCCATGAAGTTGAAGTGTCTTCCATCAAAGGTGAGATAGTGCGGGTCTCCGTAGACGGCGCAGGTGGCGGTGCCTGCTGGGGTGAGGGGCACAGGCAGCGGGCTGCTGCCACTGCTCCGAGCAGCACCTCACCCACCCAGTGGCATGCCCCAGCTCCTCTGGTCAAGGGACCCTGGTGCCATACCCACTCTGACCAGCTGGCTGGCGGGGTAGCGTGCAGGGAGAGGCTCACCGTAGGGTTGGCACCCGTAGTGGCCGTTCTTCAGCTGGCACACTGTGTGAGTCCCACACTGAGAGATCTGGCACTCCATCCGACTGCCAGGCCTGCAGCGGCAACGTTCTGTGCAGTTGGAGCTGAACCACTCTGCCCCAGGCTGGGAGCAGGGGGTCCGGAGTTAGACACTATAGCTCTTGGGGTCCTTCCCCCTTCACCACCACACCTGCAGACCTAACTTGGCGCATACCCTTCCTCTTCCCACGGCCCTGCCAGATAGCCCTGCTCACCACAGGACATTTGCACGTGCTTCCCTCTTGTCCTGGAATGCTCTTCCCCCTCCTTTCTAAATCATTTTTATGTAACCAGCTCAAGGGTCACTACTTGCTCAGGAAGACTTCTCAGACTCCCTGACGAGGTCACCCTCACAGCTTTGGGTACCTTTCCTTCCCAGGACTTACCACAACTGTACTTTCATATTAATTCCTGTGATTGTTCGATTGCAAGCACTCTGTAAGGGACCATGGCTCTTTACTCACTATCAGAGCCGCAACACATAGTACAGTGTTTGGCAGGAGCTCTCATCCAAGAAACCTTTGCTGTTGGGGCGCCTGGATGACTCAGTCAGTTAAGCTTCTGACTCCTGGTTTCAGCTCAGGTCATGACCTTATGGTTTGTGAGTTCAAGCCCTGCATTGGTCTCTTTGGTGACAGTGGGGAGCCTGCTTGAGATTCTCTCTCCTTCTCTCTCTGCCCCTGTCCCCCCCCACAATAAATAAACAATAAAGAAAAAGAAACCTATGCTGTGTCATAGTGAACCAAGATCCAATGTATCCCGCGGAATCTGAGAGCAAGGACCATGCCCTGTTTGGGATGGCCCCAATTCCAGGAGGGTGGAAAGGACTCAAGAAACGTTCCTTGAATGCATAAATGAATGTATAAGAAATGCATACATGACTCCAGGGGCAGGCAAGAAATGCTTAATGCTAATGGTTGTGATAGATCTTTCTGAGGCTGAAACTAATCCTAACACAGGGACACCCAGGAGACTAGTTAAAGGGAGGAGGGGGAGAAAGTGGTCCTCAAAGAGGCAGATAGGAACTCAGATGATCCATGGGGAAGAACACCTGAAGCTGAGACAAGCCACTGGACACTAGTGAAGAGCTTAATGCACTTTTTTTTTTTTTTTTTTTTAAGTAGGCTCCACGCCCAACGTGGGCTTGAACTCACAACTCACAACCCTGGGATCAAGTCACACACTCTACCAGCTGGGCCAGCCAGATGCCCCTAGCTTAATGCACTCATAATAGGCTGTGTATGATATTTACCATAATTAGCTAATAATAGTAACATTTATTAAGTACTTGGCCTGTGTTCAGACCTAATTTCAGCTTCACAACAGCCTTATGAGGTAGGTAGAAATTATTGTGTACACATTTCGTAGACACAGACACAGATCTGAAAAGATAGAGACACTTGCCCAAGGTCACCCAGCAAGTGAATGCTGGAGCTCAGATTAAAAAAAAAATTTTTTTTTAATGTTTATGTACTTTTGAGAGAGACAGAGACAGAATGCAAGCAGGGGAGGGGTGGAGAGAGAGGGAAGCAGAGAATCCAAGGCAGGCTCCAGGCTCTCAGCTGTCAGCACAGAGCCAGACGCAGGGCTCAAACCCAAGAACCGTGAGATCGTGACCTGAACCAAAGTCAGACGCTTAACTGACTGAGCCACGCAGGTGCCCCTGCTGGAGCCCAGATTTAAAGGCTCTGTCCAATACAGTGGCTACCAGCCACATGTGGCCATCGAGCTCTTGAAACGTGGCTGGCTCAAATTGAGATATGCCGTAAGTATAACATACACACTGGATTTTGAAGAATTAGTATGGAGGGGGGAAGGAATATAAATGATCTCATTAGGGGCGCCTGGGTGGCTCAGTCGGTTGCGCATCCGACTTCAGCTCAGGTCACGATCTCACAGTCCGTGAGTTCGAGCCCTGCGTCGGGCTCTGGGCTGATGGCTCAGAGCCTGGAGCCTGCTTCCGATTCTGTGTCTCCCTCTCTCTCTGCCCCTCCCCCGTTCATGCTCTGTCTCTGTCTCAAAAATAAATAAACGTTAAAAAAAACATTAAAAAAATAAATTATCTCATTAATAATTATTAGTTACACGTTGAAATGAGAATATTTGAGATTGAGTACATTACTGGAATTAATTTAACCTGTTTCTTTTTACTTTTTAAAAATGTGGCTATTAGGAAATGTGAAATAAAGCATGAGGCTTGTGTGCTATTTCTTCTGGACAGCGCTGGCTCAGAGCCTGTGCTCACGTGGAACCTTCCCAGGGGGGCCACCAATTAGGGGAGACAAGAACAGTCACTCCTCTGTTTTGACAGGATATGCAAGTTCCTTTGGAAGAAGATTCTGGAATGTTGTGTTCTGCCTTGAACACGCCTGAAGTTCTACTCAGCATCTGGGCTCCCTGTACATGCAGGGACCCCCCTGGCTTTCCTCAGGATGGAGATGAGGGCCTTGGACCACTAGGTTGGCCCAGCGTCTCATGCGTGGGGCCACGGGATTATGGAATGTTCTGCACAGCCTAGCCTAGCTGAGCCAAGGTGAGTACTCAGCACATATTTATTGTAGGAACAGAGATGACCATCAAAAGCCATATTGGGAATGAATGCCTCCAATATTGCATAACCTCTGCTTGTGAGCTGGCCCCTTGGGACTATCCCATGGGGACAGTCATCTCGTCTTGGGAGCAGATGGAGCCAGAACCCAGGTGTTCCACTCACAATCTCCCTCGGGGGCTCTGGGCACCCCAGCGGCCTTACCTTATAGTAATTGTTGTTGTAGAAGCAATTGCAGGACGAGGCATTGATGCAGAGGGATCCCCGAAACAAGAAGCCAGAATTGCAGACACAGCCAGGTTTGCAGAGGGGCCCACAGTTGGGCTTGGGTCTCTCACAGGATGCTGGGCAGGTGCAGCGCTCATAGTGGGCATTTGGGGGACACCTCGCTGAGAGGAAAACAGCCTGCATCAAGCCTTCACTCTACCGCTTTTTTCAGGGAGACTTCCTGTTCTCCTATACCCCCACATTCAAGTTCTCTACAAAGTAAGTCCATAATTTAGCCATAAAGAGGAGTGAAGATCCCTCATATGGATGGACTTGAATTTCTACAACACGGAAGAACCTTGAAAACATGATGTGGAGGGAAAGAAGCAGTCCAAAAGACCACATAGTACATCATGCTCCATGTGTGCAATGTCTAAAAGAGGCAAATCCGCAGAGACAGGAAGTTGATTAGTGGTTGCCAGGGCTTGGGGCATGGTGGGGGTTTGGGGAGAATGTGGAGTGACTGCTAACGGGTTTCTTTTTGGGGTGATAAAAATGTTCCAGAATTAGAAACTGATGTTTGCACAACGTTGTGAATATACGAAAACCACTGAATTGCAAACTTTAAAAGGATGCATCTTATACTATATGAATTATATCTCTATAAAAAGGAAGGCGTGTGGCATGCGACTGGCCCAGTCAGTGGAGCATGCAACTCTTGATCTCAGGGTTGTGAGTTAGAGCCCCACGTTGGGTGTAGAGATTACTTAAAAATAGAATCTTAAAAAAAAAAAAAAATGCTGTAAGTTCGGGACTTGACTCCCAACAACCTCCACCCCACCCATGCTCTGCTTCCCTCTTGGTCGGGGTGGTCCTCATTTTTTCAAAAGTTAACATGTCGCATTCATCTCTCTTCTAAGACTGCAGTTTTCTATTAGAAGCATTCATTTATCTAATTCTCTCTCCTACTCATGATCTCTTACTTTCTGCTGTCGGTTCGATGCTGTGTCACATACCTGGAGTGCGTCCAGGGGTTGTAGCGGTCGTGGAGGTACTTGGAGCAGTGGAAGGCATCACCAAGACTGTTGGCCCAATGGGTACAAGTGTTGGGCTCGGCTGGGGTATTGTAGGAACTGTGTGCCATTCAGTGGCAAAAGTAGATATTTTTGTGGGGATGCTGGGGTTTTTTGTAGGGACAGTGGGTTTTTCAGTAGGGATGGTGGTTTTTTCTGTGGGGACGGTAGGCCTTCCAGTAGGGACGGTGGTCTTTTCAGTGAGGACAGTGGATTTTTCTGTGGGGATGGTGGTCTTTTCAGTAGGGGTGGTAGGCCTTTCAGTGGGGACAGGGGGTTTTTCAGTGGAGACAGTGGTCTTTTCAGTGGGGACAGTGGGTTTTTCTGTGGGGATGGTAGGCCTTTCAGTAAGGATGGTGGGTTTTTCTGTGGGAAGTGTAGGTTTTTCTGTGTGGATGGTGGGTTTTTCTGTGGGGATGGTGGGCCTTTCAGTGGGGACAGTGGGTTTTTCTGTGGGAACTGTAGACCTTTCAGTGGGGATGGTGGGTTTTTCTGTGGGAAGGGTAGGTTTTTCTGTGTGGATGGTAGGTTTTTCTGTGGGAAGGATAGGTTTTTCTGTGGGGATGGTGGGCCTTTCAATGGAGACAGTGGGTTTTTCTGTAGGAACTGTGGGCCTTTCAGTGGGGACGGTGGGTGTTTCTTTAGGAAGGGTAGGTTTTTCTGTGGGGATGGTAGTCTTTTCAGTAGGGGTGGTGGGTTTCTCTGTGGGAAGGGTAGATTTTTCTGTGGGGATGGTGGGTTTCTCTGTGGGATGGGTAGGTTTTTCTGTGGGGATGGTGGTCTTTTCAGTAGGGGTGGTAGGTTTTTCTGTGGGGATGGTAGGCCTTTCAGTAAGGACGGTGGGTTTTTCTGTGGGAAGGGTAGGTTTTTCTGTGTGGATGGTGGGTTTTTCTGTGGGAAGGGTAGACTTTTCTGTGGGGATGGTGGAACTTTCAGTGGGGACAGTGGGTTTTTCTGTGGGCACTGTGGGCCTTTCAGTGGGGACGGTGGGTTTTTCTTTAGGAAGGGTAGGTTTTTCTGTGGAGATGGTGGTCTTTTCAGTAGGGGTGGTGGGTTTCTCTGTGGGAAGGGTAGATTTTTCTATGGGAATGGTGGGCCTTTCAGTGGGCAGAGTGGGTTTTTCTGTGGGGACAGTGGACCTTTCAGTGTGGATGGTGGTCCTTTCAGTGTGGACAGTAGGTCTTTCTGTGTGGACAGTGGGCTTTTCTGTGGAGATACTGGGCTTTTCAGGGGGTATAGTGGACTTTTTAGTGGGGATGGTAGGTTTTCCAGTGGAGATGGTAGGCTCTTTGGGAAGGACAGTGGTCTCTTCAGAGGGCACAATGGTCTCTTCAGAGGGGATAGTGGTCTCTTCAGTGGGGACAGTGGGTTTTTTAGTGGGAATAGTGGGCTTTTCTGTTGGGACTATGGGCTTTACTGTGGTGACATTGGGTTTTTCTGTGAGGGCCATAGGTTTTATTTGGGGTGTCATAGGTTTTTCTGTGGGGGCCATGGGCTTTTCTGTGGGGACAGTGGATATTTCACTGGGGACAATGGGTTTTTCTGTGACAACCATGGGTTTTTCTGTGAGGACAGTGGGTTTTTCTGTGGGGGCCGTAGTTTTTTTTGGGGGGGAAATAGATATTTTGGGGAGGTTCATAGGTATTCCTGTGGGGGCCATGGGTTTTTCTGTGGGGACAGTGGATATTTCACTGGGGACAGTGGGTTTTTCTGTGGTGGTCATAGGTTTTTCTTTGGGGACTGTAGGTTTTTCTGTGGGAGTCCTAGGTTTTTCTGTGGAGACAAGGGTTTCAGAAGGGCCGGTGGGGGGAACTGGAGATTTGGAAGGAAGCACTGTTGGCATAGTTCCTGCAAAGAAAAAACAAACAAACAAACCAACCAACCAACCCTGGAGTTTAGTCGAAATCAGACCACCGCCCTCTTCACTCACTTCCAACTGGAGTGGGTGGCCTCAAAGGGTAATTTATTCACACCTCTCCTTCTACTCCCAACCCCAACCTTCACTCAACAAACTCTCAACAAACACTGCTCCTAATATATATCAGACGTCATGCCAGATACAAACGACACAACATGAATAGGATGTGGGTCCTCCCTTCAGGATCGCCATCTACTGGGTAAGGAATTCTGGATCTAGCCACAGAAATTCACTGCATCAAAGTCACATGCACACACGCAAGCATCCTGATGTCACCGAGAAGGCAGAATGTAGAACACAAAGCAGTGTGAAAATACAAGCACAGGAGAGAACTTGATTTTCAGCCATCTGACAGATGGTCATCCCGGAGCACCGCCCCCTTTCCGGGGCCTTGAGTTTTGTTTTACCTCTACAAGTCCCGTGATTGATCAAGATAAAACCCACAGCGACAACAAAGGCAGTGTTGGTCCCTCTGATGGCCTCCAATATCAGCTGAAGGGAATGAAGGACAGAGAAGAGAGAAGTCCAACTGAATCCATGGCACCTCAAGGATTCTCCCAGACAGCCTGTCCTCTGCCAAAAGGTCACCTTGTTCTAGGCTCAACAGTCCAACTCTGCCCTCACTCCTTTTCAGGATGCAGATATCCCTCTCAGGGACACTGAGTTCACCTCTGCTCTGCTCCCTTTCCAGCTCCCATCTCCTCAGCCCTGACTGTTCCCGGGTACTATGTCCCCCTCACCGGGCCCCACACCGGGCCCACTCTGTCTCTCACCTGCATGGGCTGTTGATGCCCCGAAGGGATAGTGACGGAGGTGTTCAGCCAGTCGGGGCTCTGAGACCCAACGCGGTGCCAGAGAGAAGTCGGGAAACTGCCTGCGGGACTCTCCAGCAGGAGATTGAGTTTAGCGCCCTCTCCTAGGCCGTACATGTGGTAAGCAAACTCCACACAGATCGCACTCGGGGCACAGAAGGGCCGGCTCACCAGTCTGCAAGACTGGCCTGCCTCAGAGAACTTGTCAGCCTGGACATAGATACAGCGACCTTCTGGGCAAAAGAAGGGAATCAAAAGAAAGGCAAGATGACAACCCCCACCCCCACCCCGAGGACACTCTCGTGTTGTTTTCTCTAGCAACACCTTGCAAACGAGGGTTTGACGCGAACACCAAAACTCCCCACGCTGTAAGCGGGTTTTTTTTTTTTCCTACTTGTTTTGGACTTCTAACTGAAGAAGGTAGGATCAGAAAGAAAGGGAAAACCAAACGAGCAACCCAGATTCCTTTGCTGGCTGCACCAGTAAATGTCTTAACTGAAAATGAGGTTGTGGATTTTGAAGGCTCGGGCTCAGTGAAGTGAGTTGCCTGCATTTTCTGGCGGTTTCAGTGACCCCACAGGCAGGAGAATCTTCAACCCGTTCGATTTCTGTCATCTCCCCAGCTCGGACCCATGGTGGCTTCCCAATAAATACCTGCCGGCTGACCGTCGCCACCTACAATATCTTCTCCCAGGAATCCTACCAGCCAACTCCCCAGCTGGGAGAGGATTCAGTAATTCGTTGGCCTGGGAGATCCTCAATCTCCTCACCTCCATTAGGGGAACCTCCAAAAGCGCCTGTACCCTGCATGTGCATATTTTTACTTCCCCGGGTCCAGTGTCCACCATCCCCTGATGCCTGGGCCCAGTCACAGAAGGGATGGGCATCATCGTCAAAGTCACACTGAGGAAAGCTCTCTAGGGGATCAAAATGGGAGATGTGAGAAATTTGGGCCATGCCCTCTATTTCTCCCCTATCTTGCCCTCCCACCCCCCCACCCCCACCGCCCGTTTTGATGATCTGGTGGAGGCCCTGCTTCTCCCAGGGCCTTGCTCTCACCCCCACAGGGAGCAATGCTGATCGCATCCACTGCCACAGCTGGCTCTGGGGTCTCTCCAAACACACCCACCACAGTGAACTGAAGAGAAAGAGAGAGAAAGGGGACTGGGAGTGAAAAAAGAGCCCAAATGCCCAAACCACCCCCCACCATCTAATTTTACTCTATTCAGGAACCCAGACACCCTGCTCCCAGCGCCCAGACCCTCACTCCACTTCAATATCAGAAGTGCCTACCCTGTGCAAGGGGTCCTGACCTTTGCTCCTCTGTATCTGAATTTCTCCCTGGGCTGTGTAATTGACAGTAACAGGCTGCCAATTGGGTCCAGGTTGTCCTGAGAAGAGAGTGTGTTTCCTGATGCTGCCTGCAAATGAAAGGAATCAGAGAGAGAATTGACTTATTAAGGGGACTGAAAATGACCTCAAACCTGTACTCAGGGGGTGCCTGGGTAGTTCCGTGGGTTAAGCGTCTGACTTTGGCTCAGGTCATGATCTCACGGTCTCTGAGCTCGAGCCTCACGTCGGGCTCTGTGCTGACAGCTCAGAGCCTGGAGCCTGCTTCACATTCTGTGTCTCCCTCTTTCTCTGTCCCTTCCTTGCTCACGCTCTGTCTCTCTCTCTGTCTCTCAAAAATAAACACTTTTTAAATTAGGAAAAAAAATCCTATACTCAGAAAGAAGAGTAGCTAAGGGAATACTGGGAGTGTATCCCCCTCTCCCAAATGCAAGCACATCCTTCTCTCTCACTCTCCTGGTACTTTTATCTGTTTTTCTAGAAGCCAGCACTCTCCCAGCTTCCCAGTTCTACTCCACACAATAATCTTGCATATATCCTAGATTTCCCTAGAAATATGGGATGCCCCATATTTTCCTGTCAATTCAACCCTGGGAGACGAGATAAGCATAAATCCTGCAAATGCCAGTCTCACCCAAGACAGAAGCATAGATGGCGAGGGCTGCACCAGGTGACTGGCCATAGAGGATGTAGTGGAAGGACAGGCTCAAACAGCCAGAGGACTGGCTCAGGGGGCTCAGGAGGACAGATTTCTGCCGCAGTTTTGCATTCTTGGGGTCCAGGAGCATGTAGAAGCCACCTATAAAGTAAAAGGCCAGTTAGGTGGGGTGGCTGAAATTGAGGGATAGGACCCTGTGACCGCAGGGGTCCCGGGCCTGGGAAGCCCCAACAGCTGCCTAGGATCGGCCAGCGATGAGGTGGGCCTCCATCTGTCCGAGGCCTTCGAACTTTCCAGAAATGCTTGGCAAGACTGGTTAAGGGCGCAGGCACCACCATATGAAACGCAGCATCCTCTCAGAAGCAGCAGCCAGAACCTTGTCCTTTGGGTTGTGACGCTTTAAGTCCCCCAGGGTCATATCCTCTTCCTTTTCTGGACCCACGGGACAGAGCTGATTCACACAAACTGGTGAGAGAGAACTGGTCTGACGCCGAGAAGCCGGCATCTTCCCACCCCACCCCCTCCGGCCGTTCAAGCAGCCAATCAACCTAGACTTCGCCCCGTGACGCAACTGGTAGCCGGGGGAAAAAGTTAGGCTGCGCAGGCGCGCTCCGTCTTGACTCCCGAGCGGTCCTGCCTGGTGAGCGCGCACGCACCAGGCCTGGAAAGGCGGCCTCCGGGAGACAGAAGAGGGCAGAAGGGGAGGGAAGAGAAAAGAGAGGAAACATCAGGGAAGGAGGAGGTAAGGGGAAGGAGGGAAGTGGTAAATCGTGAAAGAAAACGCCAGGAGGGCGCTAATGGGATAGCTGGTTGGTGGAAAGGAGAAGTGGGAGTAAAAGAAAAGAGGGAAAAATAGAAGGAAGCAAGCTGGAAAAAGGAGGAGAGAGAAAATGGAAACAACAACCAACATTTACTGAAACTACTGGGGCTCGGCTTGGGGGTGCTAATACTGGGGGGCGGGG